TTGATTCTGTTTGTTTTGTACTAAATAATTCATGTTTCCCAAATGGTTCTTATTTGTAATAGGGGAGAAAAAAATCCACTTCAACACAGCAGACTGTATTTTTCAGCTCTCACTAGATGTATGTATTGCATGGTAGGAATGGGCTGCCTGTTTCTTTAGCAACCTACCTTTTTTCTTTGGTAGTTGTTTAATAACAGCTGGTTCAGTGTATCAAAGTGTTTGCAAGAGGGCTGTGTATTAAACTTGTAAAGCCAATCTTACAGGCGCTTTTAGTACGGAGGCTTAGATTTGCTTTGCTTCAGCTGTCTCATACCTGTTGAGGAAACAGTAGCATATGCTTCTGTCTCTCAGAGTGCTGGGAAACTGTGAGTTGTTATGACCTTTCAAATAGAGCACACCTTGACTGAACAGTGCTTTGTATGCTAAATGCTAAGATAACAAATGCCTGTCTCTAAGATCAAATCTTGGCTTATAACTTCAATATTTGGATAAAAATCTCCTAAGCTACTTGTGCTGTTTACCTTAGAGTTCTTAAAGCAGTTACTTGCAACCCCGTATTTTTAGTGTTGCTGTAGTGTTGGCATGTCTCTCGGGAGGTAAAGGGCTGAACACTTTTATTCACATAGTGCATATTACATGTGTTTTCTGACTTCACAAGTGCTGCTCTCTCTGGGGAGACAGCAAATAGGTTAGCAATTGAGAGAGAGAACTTGTGTCTAATTCTTTGTCTGCTAAGTTACTTTAGCTATTTTAAAAGTAAGCTTTACCTTTAAAAGCAACGGCTATTGATCCGGTATGTCTGGGCTGCACACTCTACTGAGACACACTTGTTTCCTTTGTTGACAGCCAAGTTAATGCTGCTGTCAGAACCACACTATCGTGTGCTGCCAGGATGCGTGAGACAAGCCTTGGTGAAATTGTCTTAGACGGAGTTGTATGCCACAGGTAATACGGCTTATTTGTGTGTCCCCCAGGCAATCTTTACAGGCTAAGCATTTGGAAGTTCTTTTGGTTTTTTAGCTTAAAATATGTACGTGTTAGGAATAAAAAGCTCACCAAACTCAAGTAATGCATTTGGCTGCCCTTTCTGAAGAAGCAACTTAGTCTGTTTTATTCCACAGCTCAGGTAACAGTATATATATTTTTTGTTTGTTTGTTTTCCTGATAATGCTTTGTCCTCTCCTCCCCTGCACTGTGGAGGGGAGCTTCACTTTGTGATAGCTGTTGCCTTAGCTATCACAAAACCTTTGTAGGGACAAGATTTACAGATAGGCTTTTAGCTGGGTCTGAAACCAGGTGAGAAGTAAATGTTTTTACACAGGTAACTTCCAGTAACTGTAGTTCTCCAGTGTTTATCCAGCAAGCACTGCTGCCCATTTGATAAATTATGTGAAATCAAGCGTTGGCACATCATTTTCCATCATCTTATGTCACCTGTGTTGAGACAAGAGCCCTGGTCATGAGATCACTGGGCTTGGCTGATGCTCAGCACTAGCATATTTAACTTGGCAGTAAAACAAAGTCCCGTGTTCTCTGCTCTAACAAGAGTGACAGACTCATTTAACTTTCGCAGAGTTTTTGCTGCCTCAAAAGTGTAGCCACAACGTTATTCTAACTGCTGCTGTTGGACCAAAGAGACTGGGATAAGATCTGCAGTTTTGCAGGTACTGCACGGCTGTCCAGACACTGAGTCATTAGTGTTATGATGTCCCTGAATAACTAGCTAGGTCATTAAACTTTATTGTGTCCAGCATTTCTATAAAGTGTCTCTCTGGATGACCATCTTTAATGGACAAGTTCTTAATTACGCATGTATCTCTACAGAACCATTGAGGCCAAGGACACAATGGAATTAGGAAATGAGGTTGGGTACTTGCATGGCTAATACTGTTTTCTGTCTTACAGAAGTTTTAAAAATCCTTTTTGCAGGGGAGGAAAGCCAAGGAGCTCGTGCTCTTTGTATAGTACGTCAGCCTTTAACATGGTCTGGAACAAAATTTTCCTGGAGTGAGTTATTCCGTAACTTTTTTCATCATGAAGAAACTGTGGTTCCTGGTATCTTTCTCCAATACAGCTATATCATTGGATGTAGCTTGAAATCAGTTGGTCTAGGTCCGTATTGTTTCTGCTGAGTTTAATTGGTGTCTGAGAGTGCTGGCAAGACTAGGTCATTAAGCAAAAACATAATGAAGAATTTCAGGGTTCTGATGTAGGGAAATAAGCAGCAGGCTTTCAGGGTATCCTGTAATTGAGCATCTCAGTTGTAGTTAAGGGGGCATAGGAAGAGAAGGAAGAACTTCAGCAGAGCAAGAATTGAATTGCCAAGAGCATAGTGCATTTTCTTTTTTTGTCTGGAAACATGAGCAGCAAGCTGGAAACACTGGTTCTTTTGGTCTTTTTTGCAATCCCGTTTATTATCTCTCCTTAAAACAAACACACCTTGCACCCTGCCATGTTCCTGTTTTTTTCAAACTATGAATATAGGGAGATGCTGAGCTCATAAGTGTCATAAAAGCTTTTGGCAGTAGAGTGATATGTGGATTATACACTTGCATACCTTTTTGTAAGGCATCATTTTAACCCGTTCTCGTTAGGCATATTGTTTCTTCTATTATAAAAAAGAAAAATTCTGTTTTGGGGAAATCTGTAATTTCTTATTTCCTCGTTGCTGCTACCAAGAAAATAATGGGGGGGGGGGGGGGGGGACAAAA